AGGATTTAAATGTATTTTTAGCTCTGGCTCTATTCATTTCACTTATTTAAATTTAAAATTTAAGTTTTGTAATAGTAAAAAATTCTCAGAAACAGTCACATTTAACTTTTTTATTACAATAAATTTTTTTTACATAAAGTCACATCTCAACTTGAATCATGAAACTAAACGGGCTCTAAAATACCTTAAAAATTGTCATATGAGCAGTCCACGTGTCATTTTCTATCAATAATTTTACAAAAGAAAAATATTTAGGAGAGTTTTGAAATTTAGAAAAACAAACGTTATAAATTATAATCATAAGAAGTATTTTATGAGACGGCTTATAATTTGGTGGGCAATCGTGTAATTTTTTTTAAAAAATCATTATGTGCTATGGAGAGTAGTTTAGTAAATTAATTATCGTTTCATCAGCTTATAAATTTGAGTTTTTAATATAAGTTGAGATGTAATTTTATGTGAAATTTTTATATTGTAATAAAAAAAATTAGATGTGAATTTTTATAAAAACTTTTAATTGCAGCATAATTAAAATTAAAAATTCAAATCGGTGGAATTAATAAGACTATAATTCTATTCCTTGCTGTTTGTCACACGATGCCACGTAATGGGTGCATAATGATTGTTGATGATTATGCACATCATGGGAGGGCATCTGATGTCATGCATGGCCATAATAGGCATGTGCATATGCAATGTGCATACATCTTTGCTGTGTGATGACATGCTCATGTAGTTTATTTATTTATTTATTTTAAAAAACTGAGTTCAGGGTTTCTTTTTAGTCCAGCTCTGCCTGTCGTCATTTACGTCAAATTCAGGAAACAATGGAATTATAGATATGCCCTTTTCGTTAGTATCTTGTGTCATAGTTAAAATATGCTATTTAATTTTAGTATCTTAATTTTAACTAATTAAATTAAGTCACGTTATATAAAAATTTTAAATTATTTTTTAATTAATTTTTTTATACTTATCATAAGATAATATGATATGATTGTTAGATATTAATTAGAATACTAAAAATTAAACAATAAATTTGAATCCTCTTATATCTTGTATTTTTATTAAGGAGAAAAAAAAAGCTATTGCACGGGTAAACCTATTTTTTTTTAAATCATTGTATAGGTGTTACTATGAACCAAATTTTTTCTTTTATCCAACCAAATAATCGGAGAAGCAAAAAAAAAAGAAAAAAAGAAAAAAAGAACAAACTTAAAAAATTAGCTTGAGATTTATGAAGAGTTTAGGATCCACATTTTCTGTTTAGTTAGTGTTTCAAATCTTATTTAAACAATCATATTATGTTATCTCCTTTAATAAACTTAAATATTGGAGCACAAAAAATTCAGTTAAAAAAATTTAAAACGATTCAATAACGCAGCATGATGTGATTGGTTAAAATATTTGGGAGAACAAAGTTAGATTGGTAATTTAAGTCCTACTATATATAATATTATGGTTAGAAAAACTGTCTATCATTATTTATTATTGGACTTCAATTGCAATTAATTTTAAAGTTTAGGGCGCTTGTTGTCAAGATATAAAGTTTTGAGTCCATTATGCAAAAAATGAATAATTTAAGGTGTAATAGTACAATTTACTCTTCTCTAAAAGTGTCTTAATGGACTGTTGAAATACCTTATTTTTTGTTTAATTAGGCTCATTCTAGGATTAAAAAATGTTCAAAAATTCTTAACTTTTGCAATTCAATCGCTATTTTGATTTTGAAAAAAAAAAATTCTCTTTATCAATATATTGTCTTCTTTAACATGTTCATTTCCAACCATATTAGGGAGATGAAGATTAGTTAGGACGATAATACACGCATAAAAAGCCTTCCTCACATTAAGTACTTTAACGTTTAATTAGATAGAGTAATCATTCAAATATTAATAACAAGAGCTCATTACTTTATGTTTTCTGAAAATTGGGAAACAAAAAAAGTAACGAGGTTATACCCTACAACAACACTCCATTCTTCTTTTTTCCCCCCTAAAGTTGCACACATGTAACATTTTTTTTTTTTTTTTTTAAAGAGAATTGAGGAGAAGTTTGTCATAGAGTATAAAAAAACTGAGTAAGACACGGATTTTAAATCGTCCTATTACATTAATATTAAGTTATAGTAAATATTTTTAGTTAAGCACTTGAACCAGTTAGGCAATTATAATATTTTTATGTTTGCCACTGTATTGTCGTTTATATGTTCGTGTAATACTCTGTTTGTTTTAGTGTAACACTCAATAATTATAGTTTAATACTTATAACATTAAGGATCTGTTTATTTCGTGTACTCAAATTTAAATCATTGATATTGCTATAATGTTTTTCTCTCCTAAAAAGTTTGAAATTCAAATATCATAATAAAAAATTATGATTTGAGTATACATTTTAAGCAGACTATAAGTGTTACACTTAAGCAGACAAGTGTTGCATAAAACATATGAATAAGTTTACAATGATGAACGAAAAATGTTATAAGTTCTTATTAATCAGCATGTTGGATTTGAGACGTTTGCTCAATCTTATTAGATTGAGTAATGACATAAAAATATAACATCATTTGATAAAAATTTATATTCAAAATTGTACCTACCAAGGTTTTCTTTTATAGTCTTTCAAAAAATTATCCTAATTTTTATTTGGCATGAGTTTAAATATGGGAATTTGATTTGGCCACCCCTCACAAAGCTTTCGTCCAATGTTTTACTAATTTAGGGAAATGGCCGCAACGGTAAAATGAAATCTTTATGTTTTCAGTTTTACCCTCTCCACATTAGGCTAGAGCACAATATTTCTAAAAATTAATAGCCCAATAATTGATATGAATAGATCAGAGAACTTTAATGCTCAAGTTTTCGTCTAAATTTCTCTGTGCAAGAGGATATGATCAGTTAGCCATCATTAGTTTATAGGTTTTATATTTTTTTCCTCGCCCAATCTCGAAGTAAACAGGCAAAAAATAATGTTACGAAAAAAATTCAAATTCACTAAAGTCTGGAAGACTCTAGGAGAGCAACGATAATTTTGGCGAGGTCTAAGTGATAAGGGAGGCACTGAATTTATAGATGAGTTTTTTTTATCTGCGAGTGTGAGTACTCTTGATACTCACTCTTGATAGAACATGTATGAGCGTTATTAAATGAAGGGGGGACAAGTATGAATGTTTATATTATCTCTTGAATCAGGACGCGAAAGTACCTCTCCATCCTACCATAACCTGTTTTACATGTATCTTTATTTTTAAAAATATTACATATATATATATATTTCATGTTATTTCGTAGTACAAACTTCAAGTTAGTGCAGAAGGAATAAAAAAATTAAAATGATAATGTTCTTGGTGTTTTTAGGTGATGCTTGATATATGAGTTTTGCTATAATGGAAATCTATAGTTTTGATTTTACTATAATGTTTTTTTCTCATAAAAAAATTTAAATTTTAAAAGTTATAATCAAAAACCCTAATTTAACCTCATATACCAAACGGGCCCTTATGTTTTATTTTGAAGTAACCTTACTATGTTAGTTAGGTATTGCACTGAATTTTTAGAATGTGATTTCATATGATTTCACATGATTTTGAGATTTGATTTTTATTTTTAATGTTTAGATTTTCTTTTAAGGCGTTGGTTTGTTTTCATGATATATTAGTGCGTTGTTGTTGAGCTTTATATTTAATTTGATTCAATTTACTTTATGTGTTAATAATTCCACAAGATTATTTTTTTAATGAGTAAATGAGTATGGTATAAGAAAAGCCTTTTCGATAGAAATTCTCTGACCCCTTGTGAGGCGGGATATGGGTATCAAAATTCTCTGACCCCTTGTGGGTATCATGCGGGACCTCCACCCGAGAATGGAAGTGCCGCCACTCAAGAAGTACCCAGTTACTTGGAGTTTCAGAACCTTGTCTCTGACATTACTCCCATCCCTCGGGAGCAATCCAGGTTACAAATACTTGAGTACAAGACGACATTGGTTGGTCTGTAAAGTATACCCGACCTCTTTTCACATAATAATTATCCCTAATTAAATTATAACAATGTTATCGACGATCGAGCAAGACAATTGAGAAACAGACTGAGGAATCTAATGACAGAACCTAAGGGCTCTTTTGTCTTTCTGACCTGCAACTATTATGCAATTTTAGAAATCAGGTTATTTACTTATAAATGGGTCACATTTAACAAATTGTTTATGTTCAAATCCGTTGCTAAGATACCCGTAATAATTCTGACTCGAGGCATCTTCAAGGAGACGTATTCATTGTGTTAGTGCAGAAGTGTTTTTTATTTTTTATTTTTTATTTTTGTGAAAAGAAGTGTACACCACAGTCCTTACAAAATGTATGATTTAAATCTTGGCAACAATATTTATCAAAACCCAAAAAAGAAAGTCCCAAGGCAAGAGTACCTTGATAAGTTCCGAGTGAATACACAAAAAGAAGTTCACAAGCAAAGTTTCCCTTATTTATTTATTTTTATTTTTCCCCCTTTCAGGAAAAACTCCACACTAGTAAACAAGGGAGGGGTAATATGGTAAATTGATACAGCATGCCATAATTATATGCATCATCATCAACATCATGCATGACGTTACAGGCCATAATAATAACAATAGGAATAAGAATTAAAAAACGATTGATGATGGATGATAATGCTAACAGTGGACATAATATAAAGTCTCGTTTATTTTATCGATTTAAGTATAAAATTTAAATTTTATTATAATAAAAAACTCTTAAAAATAATTATACTTAATTTTTTTATAATAATAAAAAATTTTAACATAAAATTACATTTAAATTCAAATTAAAAATTTAAATTAATAAATTAAACCGGTATTAAATATGCTACAGTAAAAAAGAATAGGATTTGACTTCATTCTAAGAGAGAGAAAGAGAGAGACAGAAGAAATAAGAAAGAGAAAGGTAAAAAGAAGGAATGAAGAAAATTCAATCCGATCGAATACAATTTTGACGTCCGCAAGGACACCACACTCAGTCTCTCTCTCTCTCCTCTCTCTTCCTCTCCCTCTCTCTCTCTCTAAAACGTTCTCTCCTCTTTCTCTCTCTGTCTCTTCTGATACAGCGAGGTTACAGGGCCGTGTACTCCCAGAGAAAATACAGCTCAGAAACCCTAGACAGAAAAGAAGAACAACAACAGCAAGAAGCTGAACTCTGTATTCGTTGAGAGAGATTCGAAAGCAAAAAGGAAAAAAGAAATAAAAAATAAAACCGACGGAGAAATCAAAGAGTGGGTTTTGTTCTGTTTTGTGTTCTGATCAGTTTGGATTGAGAAAAATCTTGTGGGTTTCTTAGAACTGCCTCTATCTGTTAGTGTTGAAGTTTTTCCTATACTCTCCGGTGAGTTCTCGCTTAGTTTGTTTTATTTCTCTTTTGGGTCTTCCCTTTTTTTTTTTTCTTTTTCTTCTGTTACTTTTTTTGGGTTCTGGATCGTTTGATTTGAGTGGGTTTTTGGTCCGATCGAGATTGTTTTGGTAATTACTTTTGGCATTTTTTTAGCTCTGTCTGTGTTCTAGTTTAGGTAAAGCTTTAATCTTTTTTGGGTTCTCTGTTAAACTGTTTATGGGTTTTTCTTTGTATGTAATTTTGCTTAAATTTGTATTCAATTTCGCTATGTTGCTGTGGAATTTTGAAAAAAGATTCTGTTTTGTTGCGGAATTCTGATAATTGGTGATGATTTTGTCAGGGTTTTTGGTTGATAGAGTGAGGACATACATGTTTTAAGTTTGGAATCAGGGGTTTGGTAGAGAGAGAATATGATTCGTTGATTATTTAAGCTTTTGTGCTCAATGGTTGACGTTACAGTGGATCTGAAACTTGGTATGTTCAACAGAGATTCATGTGAAATCTGGTCGAAGATTGCTTGTTTCACGGTGATAGTAAGACTCTAGAATGCTTAGAATCGAAGCTCGTTTTCGGGTTTGGGCTTTTTTTGGTCTTTGGTTTGTGTTTGGTAATCAGCACAACATGCTCAGACACGAAGCATACCCTTTTCTGTTGGTGCACAATAACGACTTTGAAGCCTTTGGCCATGGATTTTGGAGTGAAATGCCATCTGGGTTGAGCTCTGTGCTCGGAGTTTAGGTTAGTTTATTGAAAATTCATGTTCTTTTAGATAGTTGTCGCCGAGTATTTATTCTTGTGGTTCTGGAAAAGATGGTGCCTTCGGGGCCGCCCACTCCTATTGGTGGTGCCCAACCTGTTCCGCCGTCGCTCTTGAGATCAAATTCCGGTATGTTGGGAGCTCAAGGTGCCCCCCTACCTGCGCAGGCAGTGTTTCCTTCGCTTGTCTCACCGCGCACTCAATTTAACAACATGAATATGCTTGGAAATGTTCCTAATGTGTCTTCGCTCTTAAATCAATCTTTTGGAAATGGGATTCCGAATTCAGGGCTTCCTGGCCCTGGTGGTAGCCAGCGTGGAGGTATCGATACAGGGGCCGAGTCGGATCCACTTTCTTCTGTTGGCAATGGAATGAGCTTCAATGCTCCTTCGTCTACTTACGTTGCATCAACTATGGCTAACCCTGGTTCATCTGGTCAAGGTCAGGGTCAACAGTTTTCTAATGCTTCTGGTAACCAGCTGTTGCCGGATCAACAGCAGTCTCAGCAGCTTGAGCCTCAGAACTTTCAGCATGGTCAGCAGCCAATGCAACAGTTTTCCAGCCCTCACAACGCACAGCAACAGCAGCAGCAATTTCAAGCTATCCGAGGAGGCTTAGCTGGCGTTGGACCAGTCAAGTTAGAGCCCCAAGTGAGTAATGATCAACACGGACAACAACAACCGCAGCCACAGCACCAGCAGTTGCATCCCTTGAGAAATCTTAGTGCGGTGAAATTGGAACCGCAACAACTTCAGAATATGCGAGGCTTGGCGCCTGTAAAGTTGGAACCCCAACACTCGGATCAGTCGTTGTTTATGCATCAGCAGCAGCAGCAGCAGCAGCAGCAGCAGTTCCTGCACATGTCGAGGCAGTCCTCTCAGGCTGCTGCAGCTCAGATGAATCTTTTGAATCAACAAAGATACTTACAGTTACAACAGCAACACCAGCAACAACAACTCTTAAAAGCAATGCCTCAGCAACGGGCTCAATTACAACAGCTTCAGCAGCAGAATATACCGTTGAGATCACCTGCAAAACCCCCTTATGAACCTGGAATGTGTGCAAGGCGTTTGACGAGTTATATGCACCAACAACAACAAAGGCCTCAAGTATGATACTCTATGCAGTGAAGTTCTTTTTTTTTTGTACTCTAGTTTGTTTATTACTGTGTCATTTTTTTACTGCTTTCCATGCAGGACAACAATATTGAGTTCTGGAGGAAATTTGTTACCGAGTTCTTTGCACCCCATGCAAAAAAGAAATGGTGTGTTTCTATGTATGGAAGTGGCCGGCAAACAACTGGTGTTTTCCCTCAGGTATGCTGATGCCAGAGATAGACATTTTTCTATTGCCGAGAACAGGAAACACTGAATCTGGTTACCTTCCTCTGTTCATTGTCTTGTTTATTGGCATGGTAGTCAAAGATTTACCCACAAGTGGGAAAATATCCCACTTAATGAAGTTGTTAAGAGTTGCTTAGAAGTCTTGTCTTAGTAGACATTTTGATTTATATTTTGAGCAGATGTGCTATTTTTATACAGCTTCTTGATGCTCACTTCTGAATTTAACACAACCTCAAAATTTTGCAGGATGTATGGCATTGTGAAATATGCAATCGGAAACCTGGCCGTGGTTTTGGTACGCGGTTTTGTAACCTATTAGGAAAATCTTGTTACTAATCTTTAGTGATGCTTGGTATAATTATCGTGAGGTTTTTCGTTTGTTATTGGTATATGACATGCATTTAATGTTTTTTCAGAAGCGACTGTTGAGGTTCTCCCCAGGCTTTTTAAAATTAAGTATGAAAGTGGTACTTTGGAGGAACTTTTGTATATTGATATGCCCCGTGAGTACCCCAATTCATCAGGCCAAATCGTCTTAGACTATGCAAAGGCAATACAAGAAAGTGTTTTTGATCAACTTCGTGTTGTTCGTGATGGCCAACTTCGAATAGTTTTCTCTCCAGATCTTAAGGTTGTAGCAAAAGAAATGTGTTTTTACATACCTTTGGCTTCAATTTTCCTTTTCCCCTATTATTTGTTTATGCCCGTTCTTTTTAGCAGATATGCTCTTGGGAATTTTGTGCAAGGCGTCATGAAGAACTTATTCCTCGAAGATTGTTGATACCTCAGGTTACTTGGAAATAATTTTTCTTCATAACAAAGGAAGCTGTAATCCCATATTTCTGAAATTTGGAAGTACTAGGCTTGGGCATCTTCTCTGGAATTAAAAGTTAAAACAGAATAAATGAAGATAACTGGATGATTGGTATACTAATAAGTTAGAAACCTTCATTAGCAATGAGGAGGTACTTCACGTATCAATTTTATATCCTCAGTTTTGTCGAAAAAACTTTTGCCCCTTTTATTAAGTCAGGATAAAATAGGACAGAGTAAATGCATCATTTATTTTGCTAGACATGTTTTATGATTTTAGTTCCATCGGTCGGAACTAGATACTTTCAGAAACTCATCTATTTCAGTTATCTTTGTGCAATCCTGTACACATGAATTGTTTTGAGTTAGCATGGTTTCGTTGGAATGGTAAGATTTGGTTTTCGTGGGTGCATTATCCTCATTCGTTTTTATTAGCTTCATTCTTGATTGTGTTTCCATTAAATATCTTGCATTCTTTTAGTACTGTTATAAGTATAATTTTATTAAAGTTGGTATTAGTGGTTAGAAGGTGGATGTTTCTGCTGAATTGGTAGGATCCCCTTAGCATTCTGGTGGTTAGCTGTTATTGGTTTGTTACCTTAGTGGTTTAGTTGGATTTATGTGATGTGAAGATTAGTATAAAAGAGTGTTAGAATAGTAAGTCAATAGGCAATTAGTGAATTGAAGTGAGGCTTTGATCTCTCCCTAGAGACTAAATCTCACTTCAATTCACTAATTGCCTATTGACTTACTATTTTAACACTCTTTTATACTAATTTTCACATCACATAAATCCAACTAACTAAACCACTAAGGTAACAAACCAATAACAAGCTAACCACCAGAATGCTAAGGGGATCCTATCAGAATAGCCTTTTGGCTTTTATGTTCGTTCAAATGTTCAATCTTGCTTCTAGTTTGACTAGATTAAGACGAGTTTTCATTTACAAATCTGGTGGTATAAAATTCAAGCTGTAGATTTAGTTGTTAAAAGGTTTGAATTCGACCGTGAACATCAGGTCTATGTATTTTAATTAAGCGGTGGATTTTTCCCTTTCTTCCTTCAAGTTTAATCTGTAGGTTACCATCTTTGTTGCATTAGGAGAATCAGAATGCTTCTGCTTTCGGTTTTACCTTGTGCTGTTGTGCATATTTAATTGTTGCCTTTACTTTACAGGTTAGTCAGCTTGGTAATGCTGCTCAGAAATACCAGGCTGCTACTCAAAATGCGTCGTCCAATTTATCAATTCCAGAGATGCAAAATAATTGTAATATGTAGGTTCCTGGCTCTGGTTTCTTTTGTAAATATTTTATCCATTGGTGCTGTTGTAAATTTTACTTGATGTCTTACCTGGGGAAAGATCTCTCTCCCACCCACCCCCCCACCCTTGTGCCAAATTTCTCATCAATCTTATCAATAAAATTGAACTTGTTTGGTCATCATACTCTGGCTCGTTTTCCAGATCTTCCTCTTGTGCTGAGATAATCACCTGCTTCCTCTTTCCATTTGATAATTCATTTACTATTTGTCTAACTCTAAGCATGCTGCAAATTTGTATGGGTTATATGTAATGTTTATTTATAACATTCGGTGATTGATTTGTTAAAACTCTACTTGTGACCTTTAATGCTTTGGCTTGATTTAGGTTTGTGGCTTCTGCTCGACAATTGGCAAAAACTTTGGAAGTCCCATTAGTGAATGATTTAGGTTATACAAAGAGATATGTACGCTGCTTGCAGGTAGTACTCTTGTTCTGTCTTTTATTTATTTATTTATTTATTATTATTATTATTTTGATAAGAAACGAAAGACTCTTAGTAATAATAAGATAAGATGAATGAAGAGGAGTACATTACTCCTGGATTAATTCTGTCTTTTATTCTTAAAGATAAAGATGTTATGAATCATAACTCCCGTGTTAACTTGGTGCATTTCAAGAGTTGTGGATGTTGTTATGCATGTTTGGGGAATCACTGTTCTTTGATGATATCATTTGAGATCATAAAGATGCAAAGAGGAAAGTTCCATAAGTTGCATTTTGAACCTGGAATTATTTTATATCTGAATGAGCTATATCTGATTTCACTTTTGTTTCTTTTACCCTGTAAATATTGCACGTTGTGAAATATCCTCTAGGAAATGTTGTAATGAAAATACGAAACTTCAGATAATTTAATAATTTGAATTATCCCCTTTATGTTAGGAAAAAGTTATTCCCTTTGTGTGTAATATTTTTGTTTATGTTTTAATTCGCATATTGCAGATATCAGAAGTGGTGAATAGTATGAAGGACTTGATTGATTACAGTCGAGAAACAGGAACAGGCCCTATGGGTAAGCTCAATGCAATTTTTTCTTTTTGGCTAACATTTGTTTATTATCCTTATTTTATTTGATTATTTATTGCTGTTGTTGTTATTATTATTATTATTATTATTATTATGTTGCATATATATGATTGGTCAAAGTTGAGATATATACAACAACAACAAGAAGACTTAATCCCAACTTAATTGGGGGTCAAAGTTGAGAGATATATTTGATTATTTTTGTCTGTTGGTTTCTATTAGTTTTTCTTTTCTCCTGGGTTGAGAAGGGAAGTTTTTTCCTCTGCTTTAGGGAGGGAGAGAGAGTCTCCTGGGTTGAGAAGGGAAGTTTTTTCCTCTGCTTTAGAAGTGTATGCGACTCTGGAAGAGTAGTGATATAGGCAAAGAATTAGCTGCAGATTAGGAAGTAGTGATTTTATTTTTGCAATTACATCTGCAAGTTACAAAAATTTTAGTCCGAGAGTGGAAAATTGATAACAGAATTATGATGGAGGAGAAACTTGGGAATTTCTCAGGCAGAGTTCTGAAAAAACACAACCTCGGTGCATCAATATGGTTAAATTGAATGGATTTCCTCTTTTGGATCCTGTAGCCTCCAGGTTGATGTTACCTTTATTGAATATGGACATCCTGAGTTTGTTTATAAATGCTCTCTAGTCTTTGGAAAATTTTCTGGACATTTTCCATCGATCCTCTATCTATGCTCTAATTGCTTGGATTCTCATCATTTTTCTGTTTTGAATAAGAAGGTTGTTACTGTACCTCATATTGCGGAAATTGATTTCCTGCAAAGTGTCTAACAAGTTGTAGAAAGATAATAAGAGCACTAAAAATGCCAGCCAAAGAAGGAAAGAAACCCTCAGGGTACCACAATAACCAATTAGCTCACGGTATCTTCTTTTTTAGGAAAAGATCCATCCTTCTGACGGTGCCTTGTATGCCGCCACCATTTTTTCAATACTTGAGCCAACCAAGCTCCTTGTTTAGGTATTGCTTAAGGTTGTTGATTCTATAGGCACGAGAACAATTGATGTTTAATTCCTTAAGGAAAAGTATGCAAATTATCATGATAAGGAGTATTGGGTGTCTGTTTATTCTCTTGCCATCTACGTGCCTGTTGTGACAATTACTCAGCCTTCTTTTAAGTTGTGCTTTTTGAGATTTTGGGCCTCTCCATGAGAGTCGAGGAGTTTGAGTTTTATTCTCATGCCTAGTTTGTGCTGTTTCAGATTATGTTGCTCGAGAATAGCATCACCACTCTAGTATTTGATAGCTGAATGCAACATTCTTGTCAACTGAATTTGTTTGTATTTCTGTATTTTTCCCCCCTTTTCAGAGAGCTTGGCCAAGTTTCCTCGAAGAACAAGCACGACGTCTGGGCTACGCAGCCAATCTCAACAGTCTGAAGAACAGCTACAACAGCAGCAGCAGCAGCAGCAACAGCAACAGCAACAGCAGCAGCAGCAGCAGCAGCAGCAGCAGCCAGCAATGACCCCGAATTCAAATGGTGATCAAAGCTCTGGCCAAGGCACAATGCAACTTGCCTCTAGCAATGGTGTTGCTAGTGTAAATAATCCTCTGAACCCAGCTTCCACATCTTCCTCTGCGAGCACCATCGCCGGGCTCCTCCACCAAAATTCAATGAATTCCAGACAGCAAAATTCTATGAATAATGCAAGCAGTCCATATGGAGGTAGTTCAGTTCAGATCCCTTCCCCAGGTTCTTCCAGTACGATTCCGCAGTCACAACCCAACCCTTCCCCTTTCCAGTCACCAACGCCCTCGTCTTCTAACAATCCACCGCAAACATCACACGGTGCATTACCAGCTGCCAGTCACATGAGTACTGCAAACTCACCGGCAAATATCTCCATGCAGCAACAGCCGGCTCTCTCTGGTGAGGCTGATCCAAGTGATTCCCAGAGCTCTGTCCAGAAAATCTTGCATGAAATGATGATGTCCAACCAACTCAATGGAGGTATGGTTGGTGCCGGTGCTATGGGGAATGATGTGAAGGGGATTTTGCCAACGAGTAACAACACAAGCATGAATGGTGGAAACTGCCTAGTAGGGAATGGGATGTCCAACAGTAATTCGGGTATTGCAGGTGCCGGATTTGGCACAATGGGTGTTGCTGGACTTGGTCAATCTGCCATGGTTAATGGGATCAGAGCTGCAATGGGAAATAATGCGATGATGAATGGAAGAGTGGGAATGCCGTTGATAGGTCGAGACCAGATTATGCATCATCAACAGCAGCAAGATTTGGGGAACCAGCTGCTTAGTGGGCTAGGAGCTGTTAATGGCTTTAATAATCTACAATTTGATTGGAAATCTTCCCCTTGAATAGCTCGATTGACCGACCGCCTTTTACATGTGTATGGTTCTTGATCACGGCTGCTTGTGCGGCATGAGAAAATGGCAGAATTGCCTGTGGTGGCCCTGTGGAGGATGGTTTATAAAAAGGAAAAAGAAAAAAGAAAAGAGAAGAAAAAGAACACAAACGGGGTGAAAATGGTTATAACAGGGCTACTTCCCACTTTGTACTAATCTGTTATTTATATATAAGTGAAAGGAAAATATGGTGGCTGGTTTGTGTGGCTGACGGGGCTAATTTTTTCTTGTGGTTTTCAATATACTTTTATATATTCTTTTTCCTTTTTCACTTAATAGTTCTTATTTTGTTTTACTACAATTTTCAAACTTCTGATGTTGTCTTTTTCTCGTGTTACCGATTAGAATAGCGGAGTCAAAGGATTGAGCAGAGTAACTAGTTCTATCCAGACAAGTTGTGTTTATATAGTCTCTGGGTTTTCTTGAAAAATTATTACAACGAAAGGAAAAAAAAAAAAAAAACGACTGAAATATTTAGGTCTCGTTCATTTTATTGATTTGAGTTTTCAGTTTTATGTTTTTACAGTAAAAAGTTATTAAAAAATGTCACATTTAATTTTTTTTGTTACAATAAAAAATTCTTAAAAAATGTCACATCTTAACTCGAATTGAAAATTTGAATCTGTAAAATGAACAACGTCATGAATAGTAGTCACAGGTTTTCTTTTTTGAGAAAAGTATAAGAAAAGTGTATTTGCCATGGTTTTCACTTGTATATGATTATTATTTGTCATTTTTAAATAATTAAATTTATTTGTTTTTTATATTATTTTAAATAATTAAGATTTCGTTCATTTTATCGATTTGAGTTTTTAGTTTTAAGTTTCTACAGTTAAAAGTTTTTAGAAAATATCACATCTAACTTTTTTTGTTACAGTTAAAAACTCTCAGAAAATGTCACATCTCAACTCAAATTAAAAACTCAAATCCGCGAAGCGAACGAGGCCTAAGCGTCATTGTGATTTTTTATTAATTTTTTAGTAGAGTGACATAAATAATACATTTTACCGTCTTAAATAGTATTTTTATTTTTTTTATTTTACTGTCTTAAATAGTAATTTTTTATTTTTTTCTCTTATTTTTTCTTTTATTTTGGCTCCAAGAAAAAAGTTTGGGATACATGAGCCTCATTAATAAGGGCCCGTTTAGTTCGCTAATTCAATTTTTTAATTTGAGTTGAGATGTAATTTTATATGAGAGTTTTTTACTGTAGTAAAAAGGTTAGATGCGACTGTTTCTGAGAGTTTTTTACTGTAGTAAAACTCGAATCGGTGAAATGAATGGGGCCTAAATAGTCATTATTTCCTTGAAGAATTACCGATTTATAATCAATTGATTCTTGAATTTCTCATTTTGACAAATTCCTCCCTAAATTTATCTTTTAACAGTTTTGATCTTTAGAGACTAGAAATGACGTAGGGTAAGGTTACTGAAAGTTAATTGAGCTAATTAATATACCTGTCATATCAGTAAATTCATAAAATATATAGATAGAAATGGACAGAGAGAGCATATTGAACTGTTTTCTATACATCAAGAGACACTTTACATAATTTGGAGGACAATTATGAAAACAATCCAAAAATAAAAAAGTAGTGCATCTCATTTTGCTAATCAAAGTAGTGCATCTCATTGAATGCCCCTCTCTCTCTCTCTCTCTCTCCCATTTCGCTTTTGTTCGATGGAACGGGCCAAACCACCCCCAAACCGAACCGAGAACATCCCAAAATTATGTACAAATGACACAAAATATTAACAGTAAATATATATAAGAAATTAAAAAGTGTATATATATATATATACCTAGGCTCAAAGATGAGTAGATGATTGATGTTTCTTACATAGGAGAAGTTGAGTTGAGATCTTCAAGCCTCTACTCTACATATTTCTCTATGGTAGTGGATAAGGTGGACTTGGGTACTGCTCCAATAACACTCTCTTTCTTCTCTCCATTCTTGAAGAAGAGCACAGTTGGGATGCTTCTGATGCCATATTGTGTGGCAATGTTGGGGCAATCATCAGTGTTGAGCTTGTAACAGTCTAACTTCCCCGAATACTCTTTCGCCAGCTCGTTGATCACCGGCGCAATCATACGGCACGGCCCACACCACGGTGCCCAAAACTCCACCAGAACCGGGTTTTCGCTTGCAATCACAAGGCTGTTCCAGCTTGAATCTGTCACCACTTGGACTGCATGTATGTACGTCTCAATAAGTGTTGTATTAGTATTAGAAAACTCACCAAATCAATGCACTCAAAACAACAATACTCTTGTTAGGTAGAAAGTGCTGTGTATCATCATTTGTATTTTTGTATTGAATCAACTGCAGGTTCACACAGTCTTACATGATAATTCTTCAGTGGTTCAATGATTTGAATGATATTCAATATTGTTCTTTTGTAAGTGCTTTTGTCCGCTGGACTTTGATTGAATTTGTAAGCTATCGCCTAACATTTTAGTTGTGGCAAATTAACTTTCAAATTTGTTAAAATGTTGCAGTGTGCCTTAAATTGATGAACATCAAAATTTAGAAAGAAACGCCCTCATGTGCGTGATATGATATGGTTTAATATTTAAGTTTTTTCCTTCCGATGAACTCACATAAAGCGTACATAAAGCGTACAAGGTATTATAATTCTATTAAATTACTTGTCTTCTACTATATATATATTTTTAGCAGAATTTTGTTAATAACTAGGAAAATATGTATATGGAAAATCTAAACTGGTCTTAAGTAGCCTGCTTGGCCTGCAAATGAGAATTCCGTTTCATAGTAATTTTGCTTCCAAAAATTGTGGAGTGGGCTTCGTTAATCTTTTTCTGCCACTCGTCGCTTGCTAAAATTACCATATCCTTTACTAAATTGCAAACTCAATTAAGTAATAACTACTAAAGCCAACAAATACTAGATAAATTAATCTTGGCAAGGGATTATGCAAATTACCTTCATCTAGAGCCTCACGGGCTTTGCAAACGAAGAGCGATTTCCTTGTAGTAGAGTTGAAATAACCAAAAGGAGAAGAAGAGGAGGAGAATGACAAAGCAGATTTCTTCAAACCTTTGTTGAATGTTGGAAAATTAAGCTTTTCCTTTGAAGAAAATGTATGATGGCATTGTACAGCGCCAACTCTAGTGCATGTTGTGCTCAATTGCAAACAGTTCCCCAAAGCCATTTTATTATGTAACTATCTCTCTCTCTCTCTTTCTCTGCGTTTTGGATGAATATTTTGTTCTGTTAATGCCTTAGTAGAGTTCTATCAATATTGAAGAAAAAGAGAGCATGCCATTTATTTTCTGGTGGGCAGTTGGGAGAATTCTCTCAAATATTTTTTAATGCCCTATTATGTTTTTTTTATATATATTATTTTTTGTTTCCAAAAATACTTTTGGGAAGTAGATAATATGCAAAGGTTGTATGGTGCTAGCAGTGCTCAAGTTTATGTGGACAATATTTTTATTGAGTGAATTCACCAATATGCCCTAATCAACCATAAAAAAGGGAAGTGTGCCATTACAGTGTCTTATTTAGCGCAGTCCTCAAAATCTCCCCCAAAAGCTTCTAAAACTGATGGAAAAATCCAAAGGGCATAAAGATAAAACTCCGGAATATGGAGTGGACTACATACTCCTTATCCGTTTGGAGCCCAATATTAGCTATTTTGTTCTTTGCTTTTGGCATGAGCCATCAGCGTAATTAATGCTACACTACGCTAGCAAGAAACTTTTTTTTTTTTTTTTTCCTTTTTTCTTGTGTGGGTTTTATAGGAACGATAAATTGGACATTTACAGGGACTAATTTTTTTTTTACTTGTATTTGTAACTATTAATAACTAATAGTTATTATTATTGGAGCAAAAAATCACTTTTCTCCAACAATTGCTACCATAAAATGTCCTCCATGGGGACAAGAAATACTGTTACCAACACAAATATGTCGTTTTACATGTTCTACATTGGAACCGAGAAAATACATGCTATCCCCAAGTGCATAAACATTTGGATCATATCTAAATTTATGAGGTTCGTCAAGCTATATAATTTTTCAACTCGTCAAAATGACTATTCTTTATATACCCATTTTCAGTAAATAAAAATTGAGCTCAGAGAATACATCAAAACCGTACTCTACATGCAGAAAGCCACCAGTCATTCACATCGTTTGCCTATTTCAAAATGAATACTCCTTCAAATCCGCCTTGGAGTCGCCTATTTCCATGTCCGTCATGCATTCTTCTTCCGTAAGTGGAGGGAGATTGCGGGTTTTGCGTCTCAAGTTGTGCTTATGCCACTCGCTCTTAAAGTGCTCCCTAAACTGCTTCGAGTCACCAACAAATGCATTGCACGTTCCACATTTGCTTTGCTTTCCCTCCCCTGCAGTTGTTGTTGCACTACTACTAGAGATACTTTGTTTTTGCAATTTGTCACTTAGTTTTGCAACAGAATCAGTGGCGTCCTTGGGTACGTGGGATGGCTGGCCCTCGTGATCATCATATTGATCCACATGAGTGTCTCCCCCCGCATGGACAGAAAGTGCAAGAACTTCAAACCTTCCTTGCAAATTTATCATCAAGGCTTCACACTCGCGATAAATTCCAGGGTCTAGTTCACAAATCTGCATAAAAAATAAAAGTTAATGAACCCAAAATGCGGTAACAAAAAATAATATATGAAAAAGTTAACAAATGTATGACTTAATCTCAATAACCCAACTGCCATCTTACATTCACAAAGGGGGGTTGGGGAATGAAAGTGAATTGCGTAAATAAATAGCAAATAGGTATGGAAGGATTTTATTATATCACATAGGTGCTCATTTATTTTGTATAAGTAGACTGTTTAATGTAAAGTTCAAACGTGTTTTCACCATATTTTCAACAATTTTCTCTCCACTTGAAACGAGTCGACAGAGACCACAAAGTAGATAATGCTACGACGTTTGCTCCATGGTCTAAATGATTGATTCATCCTCTTAGCAGATTATAAATAGAATTTTATGAAACTCACGTCTTCATAAAAATTGTTGAATATGTTTTTATATGTATATATTGCAATAGGAAAAGTCTAGGCAAGACACAAAACTTAAGACTTAAAGATCTAAAGAACGAACCCAAGATTGAATGAAGCCTTTAGCTGCAAGTACAAAATCATGGGCACCAGAAATAGAATTACAGACTTACAATATATAGCTGACTTCCTGACTGATCTTTTGAAGCAATTTTAGCACTCCATGCATTTAGCTTTTCCATCAGAGACGAAGAGCTTTGTTCAGGAACGGAGAGCCGTAATCTCATTGGAGAACGTTTGATTGGAAAATGCTTTTGAAGTTCATGAATGACTTCTAGTGCCTGCAAAAGAGGATCTCATTAGCCGAAAATCATATAACCTAGGATCACCAAAGTTAAAATGGAGTTCCAACTTAAATGTCAAATCGGAATTTTCTTTTGAATAATAAATGGAAACCTTTATTGATATGAGTAAGTCAATAAAAGGTGAGGAGGATGAGCTCAAAGAAAAAGAAAAGCAGCTACAAAATGTATAGATTCACAACCTGGAACCCCAGAAAATGGGCAAACAAACATAACTAAAACATAAAAATGCACAAATTTCAAATCGGAAATATATCACAAAAAGAATGAAAACCACAACAAAAGTTTTTAACACCACAAATTCGATGAGTTTGAACAAGTCCAATTGAGTTCCCCACAACGAACAAATTATACAGCTCACAATAAAACCAAAGGTACTGAATCACCTGCTTCTTGGAGCCGCTAATGGGGTCGACGGCAAAATGAATTTCACGCATGAGGCGCTCAATCATGTTAATAGTATAAGGGCGCTGAGTTTCGGGGTTATAGGTTTTCTGCATAACAATGGTGGCAATGTCCCGGAACTGACTGGACAACTGCGATTCCCGCTCCTTCCCAGCGATTTGAAGCTCTCCTTTATCCAAAATCTAAAACCGAAAACTAGAATTAACAAAATCAACCAAGCAAAACAACACAATCATTGGTGAGTAAATTGAACTAACCTCCAAACATATTTTGGCTTGATCATCGGTGCCAAACGCAGCAATCAAATCCTTCGACTTCGCCAAAATTCCTTTCGAAACATTCGAGTAGACCGTCTGCGACTGCAGAACTTCGTCCAAATCTTTCTCCCTGTTTCACCATATTTTAGATTAGATACTACTACATCTCCAATTAAGCAAATATTCAAGTAACGAATTCAAAATATTCATCATAGGTAAAGAAGAAGAAGAAGAAGAAGAAGAAGAACACAGAGAAAGTATAAAAGATAGCTTACACGCCAGAACGCCATGAAAGGACCTTGTTCTTATAGCAAGCGATCTCGAAGCGCATGCCGAGCTTCTTGAGACGTACGACGGCGACATTGGTGAGCCTCTTTTGGCCTACGGGCTGAACCAGAATCCGAGACATCGCTCTAATGGCGACGAGGAGAGGGAAACGGCGTGATGAAGGCTGGATATGGTCGTCTTGGGAGGAGAAACGTTTGGGACAATTTAACCTACAATTAAATTCCTCAAGGAAGGAGGAGCCAGGGCCTTGGGTCTCAGAAGAAAGATCGAGAATTTGTCTTCCTCTTTTAATTTTATTTTTATTTTCTGAAAAGTTTTGAAAGGGTAACTCAACTAGTCCGTGAGTTGCAAGTTGGTGTGGGGCTTAAACGGGCCGGCCTGGTGCCTGATACTATTGGCCCTGTTCGGTCTGTTTAAGTGTTTGGGTTTAAGTTGTGAGTTTGAAACCATATTCAGGTCGGGTTGTTTTAATTTTTTTGTTCCTTAAAAATGCATCGTAAATTTTGGGCCTGTCTGATCCAGTGAAAATAATGGGTCAGGACGGGTCGACTCGATATTTCTATTCGGGCTGTCGGGACTGGACCGGACAGTCTGAACTTTCACTTTATTTGTGACTCTTTGCATCCTAAAGTTAAAATAAGACCGAAATTTTTTTTTTTATGTTTGGTAGGATGGATTATGAATAGAAAAGAGAAATATATGAGAAGTAAAATATCTAAGTGAAAGAAGTAAAATAATAGAACGGAGAAAAACTCGAAATGAGAAAAGGTGAAAAATAAAAAAATATATAAAACAATCACCATACTACAATAACAAAGAAATTTTAGCATAGCTTCATAAAACTTTTTAGAATAGTTATTGAAACTTGAAATTATGTTTTTTATAATAGATTTTAAAAAGGTGTAGGGAGAGATTAAAAAAATTATCCTTTATATTTTTTTTATAATGATGTTTATTTAGGTAGTTACGTCTATCTGATATAGGTGTGACGCAACTATTTCGCTAAAAAATTATAATTGATGGAAGATGTGCAATTAAATCCTTCAAACATCACCTAAGACTAGACTCGAGAATTCACTCTAAGCACTACTTGCTTGAGCCCCTACTTTGATGAGTCTCTAACGAATCTGTAGGCGCATCAAACAGACGGGCTTAGACACTTTTTTGAGGCCCATGCCATGTTGGCGGCATCTCTCTAGTTTAAGTACGCTCATGCATCATTCTCTTAATCCTTATAAAATGCCCCCTCCGAGGCGCATTTATGGGGACTTGAACTTGGGACCTCTTGCTCTGATACTAACTGATGTAGGAGTGACGCAATCATTTATACAAAAAGTTACAACTAATGGGAGAGACGCAATCAAATCCTTTAAACATCACTTAGGACTAGACTAGAAAATTCACCCCAAACACTACTCATTTGAGCCCTTACTTCGAGAAATCCCTTATGAATCTATAGGCGCAATGTCTCGTAGATTGCGCTTTCTAAGCTCAAGTATGCTCCTGATGTTCTGCATCACTATCATAATTGTCATTTTTTTATCGTTTTATATGAGTGTCTTTTTGTAATTGAAAATTTTAATTTAAAAGGACGTGTGAAAGTAAAGAGGGAGTATGCATAAAACCATAATTTCATAAAAATATCCCTATATTTTTTTGGTTAATTTTCATTTTAGTTCATGAGGAATACTTGTTGTCTTAATTTATTCCTTAAACTTTCAACTGTCACACTAATTACATTTAAGCTTTACAAATGTTTCATTGATGATCTATTAGTGATAAAACGGTTTAAAAATGGACATAATAAACATACGAGGCGCAAGTAATATGGTTGGGGTTGTTAAAAACACTATTGATAATAGGATTTTTTGCATAATTGCCTCATAAATTTGTTGTGGTTTAGTAAATTGCCCTCTAAAATTTTAATTTTAGCAAGTTACCCATCAAACTTGTAAATTTATTACAATGTGTTCTATTTAACTAAATTTTTTATTAGACACAATGGATTAAAAATTGAGATATTGAAAGATTTGTGCTATGTTTGAATTGGAATGTTGAAATTTTTGGTTGAGTGTGCTTTTTTGACACTAATTTAATACAATCGTCATTAAAATGAAGCATATTATAACAACTTTATAAGTTGAACGAGCAACTTGTCAAAATTAAAAATTTAAGGGGCAATTTGCTAAACTACGACAAGTTTAAAAGGTAAATGTGCTAAAAACTCTTGATAATACCATTGACCTATGGAATTTGAACATTAAACACACTTAGGGCTCGTTTAGTTCGCTGATTCGAGTTGAGATGTGACTTTATGTGAGAACTTTTTACTGTAACAAAAAAATTAGATGTGATTGTTTTAAAAAACTTTTTATTATAATAAAATTTAAATTCTAAACTCGAATCGATAAAATGAACGGTGACTTATTCCATTCATTTTAACAGTTTTTTCCACAGTGAGATCGTGAGTGCAATGTTTGCAAAACTCGGATGCTACTAGTGTGAGTTGAAAGTCTACAGAGGTAAAATAAGACAATTATGATCCGTTTAGTTCGCTGATTTGAGTTAAGATATGACTTTATATGAGAATTTTTTAATGTAACAAAAAAATTAAATATAATTATTTTTGAAGACTTTTTACTAGTAAAAGTAAAATGAACGAAATCTTAATATTCTTCGTATCCAGAATTAAAATTAACCATTATTTTTTTAAATATCCCCTTTGTTGGGTTCCAAACACCCCTTGCTATTCTTTAAAAAGAAAGTTTTGTTTTAAAAAAAAAAAAAATTTGGGGTAAGTAAAAAAAAAAAAACAAAACTCCTCACTGTTTAGTTGCCGCTCCTCCACGCCCTTCCAGCCTCCCGTCTCTTCACCGCAGCCCCCGTCTTGACCGGAGCAGCCTCCCTCCGCCATCTCCCTTCTAATTGAAGAGAAATTTTCCGAGATTATTCTAAGTTCAGAGCGAAAAAGGTAATCTTAATAATAATTATTTTCTGATTTGTCTCTACATATCTATTTTCTGAGTATATATTTTATGTAGGATAGGCACGGTGTTTGGTTTGTTTTTTTTTTTTTTTTTTTTTTTTTTTTTT